AATTTTCCCGCTAAATTCAGCTGAGGAACTAAATTTATTCATAGGTGACGTGATGCCCAGTCATGTGACTCATTTTCCCCGCTGCATTTAGCGGGGAAATTGGATTGGAGGAGGTGGGGAGAAGAGAGAAAGGAGGAGGAGGAGGAGTAGGAGACCAGAAGGGAAGGAGAGGGTACGGAGGAGGAGGAGGGGCATACCCTCCCTTACGTACGCCCTCCTCTCCTCCTCCTCAAAGAGCTCAGTTCTAATTTTGCATTACAGCGATTCGTAAATGTCTTTGATTTTATTTTAATTACTATTATGTTTGTTGGGGTTTCACCACAGACTGAGGAACAAAATGTTCCTGCAAGCTACTGCTTCGGTGCTGAAGGCAATGAAAGATGAAACAAATGAAACCTGCTGCGCTCATTCATTTTATTTCATTTTATTGTATGAACCTCAAGGGCGTCCGAAGGACGCATTACATGAAGGAAGATTCAAAATAAGTGACATAGGTTAAAAGAAGAGCAGGGTAGCAAAACACGAAAAACATGTTCCGGATAGCAGATGCTTTGCGGCCTTTCCTGTTTATTTTTGTTGTTTTTTTGTGCGGAGCTCCGCGTACAAGAGACCTTTTCTTCACGGCCGTCGACATTTCCAGAGGCGGAACTGCATGGCGTTCAGAGTGGAAGGGCATGGAAATAAATAACATTCAGGATAGAAGCGTAACATGATTCTACCCCGAATGCTTCAACTCTACCCAGAGCCTGCTTCCACCCTACCCTCATAAGAGGTTAATAAGCTTTTATTCATAAGCATGGAAGCATCGCATGCATAGCTCTTGAAGTAGAAAGGAAAGCAACGACAACTGTGTTTCTTAACAGTGTTAAACCTAGGGATGACATTGGTGACTACTCTGATCGATTAGAACTGATATTCACGCATCACTAACATTTGAACTCGTTCCCCGTTGTAATATGTGTTGTTCTTTTAGACACGCATTACGAACATGTAAACTACGTAACTGATAAGATGTGAAAGAAAATACCTATCAACAGTAATGTTTTCTCTGTTTGTCATTGAGTTGTCGCTTTCCGAATGTGCTTTTGTCGTCTCTTGGAATGCTGAAATCGAATATTAAAGACGTAGCTCAATAAATGTTTGTCTGACGGGCGACGCTTTCCTAATATTGTGATGAAGAAAACGACGACGATGTGGCTGTGGCACGCCTGACCATCCCCCAGCACCCCGCGCGCACGACCGGATTTTCATACAATACCTCTTTCTTATTGAGTGAGCATGGCATTTGTCATTGGCTGCCGGTCGCATATCATTGTGACGTTTGATGGAGGTGTGGAGTAGACCCCACCCGAATGAATTCTGTTAATCATATTGGTAATTTCCATGGTTCGCGCATCATCGTGAACAGGGGTGGGGATAATGCTCACAAAATTGTATAAAAATAAAAATACAAAAGGAATATAAAATGTTTTTAATTACATAACTTATTAAACTTTCTCTAAAGTATCTAAAAACAAAATACAAATAAAATGAAGGCGTTTTTATCATTTTCAAATTGTTTTACAAGTATTTTTGTGTCCGTAGTGTGACATCTTAGTCTTAAATTTAACCCGGGGTAAAAGGCCGTGTCCCTAAAGAAGAAGGTGAAGTCTGTATACTATATCAAGCATAAAGTTCTTAAACTTAAAACTCCAGACTTGAAAATAAAACGTTCTTGGCAAGTCATACGTTCGTACATTAGGAAGAAACATTGTCCTCAGTGCAAATTTAATATTAAGCTTCAGGCAACAAGGGCTTTTCTCACAGCTTGTCCTAAATGTCAGGTCTGTCAAAAAATAAACACAAAAGCACCGATAAAGAGTACCAGAATAGTATTTTATTGCGACAGACACTGGTCAAACCTGGCTTCCGTTAGTATTTGAAGTAAAGTATTGGAATTACTGAACTCCTTGCATATACCATCGACAGATACATTCCCTAGAATGTCATGAAATACAAAAAACAAAATATACGAGGCATTTTAAATATGTAATTCATATACTTTGTTTTATACTTGCTGCACACCCCTGATTGTGACAATAAAATATTTGACGTTTGTGTTTATACACCCTAAGGTCGGTCTGCGATTTAGTTGCGGCGACACTGGTTTGCACTGTATAAACGAGAAATGTAGCCAGTGTGGTACCACTGTTATCCTGGGGCTTTTAACATGCACCACACACTTGTGCTACAGGACCGCATTCCGGTACGGTGTTCATTGATATCGAAACGGAGAGAGGTGTGGATTGAATCCTGGATTTTGGGGTTCTGGAGGGAGAGTTTTCTCTCCATGTGCTCCGGTCTACGGTGCGCTAACTCATTTGTTTGCTATATTTAAGTCGCAATACATGTCACGAGTTCGGAGCGAGGTTTATCACTGCACTTCGTCCCGAACCACCATAATCATGTCCTGGAATTTATTGTAGAGACGTAGACCTTCCTAGAAATATTTTTTTAAAGTTTCTGGAGTACAGGCGTATGTAAAATACTACGCTCCAAAGAAAAAGAACACAACGTTTATGTCCCGAGAATAATTTTGAGCCAGGATTGATTTCAAATACTGCTTCTATTTGAGCACATGTACGTTCTAAACTAGAAGCACCCCTCCCCCCATTCAAAAAAAAAAAAAAAATTGCGATACTAATTGAACTTTTCTTACCAAAATGTCGAGCAATGATCTTCTTCAAAGAAAAGTGTAGTTTTGGCACATATGTATATCAGCACTTTAAACGATTTTATTCCAGTCAGTGTCCCTTTAATTTATACAAATTGCTCACTGGTTGTGCGTTGTAGCCCCATGTCAGCGTTTTGGATATTTTCCGCCAGTAAACTGTTGCGACAGCAGCCAGCTTTTTAGCAGTGTTGTTCAAAACGACAGTTCAGCCTGGTGAATATACAGAGGTATTTTTTGTGCGAAATTGCGTAAAGCGCTAACCCGGAAATATTCGCGGCGATGCGCAGGCGGCTGAGCTACGTTTTGATTTCGTAGTTCGTATAAAGACAAAGACAACAGGGGAGCAAAATAGACTGTATAATACGTATATTAACTCTTTAAACTTTACAAAGGCTAAGGGCATTGATGTCTTACAACATGTTAAATGTCGTCGTCCGAGAACAATCCCTAATCTTGGTGGAAGTGAGCTGCAATCTGCGCTCAAATCAGTTTGGAATAATGACGTTGGAAGGAAGAGGCAAAATATATTCGGGGGCAGGCTATCATGTTTCACGTTATCGCAATCTTTCGAATGGGATCCGACATTCATCAGTGTGCTCCCCCCGTGATTTTAAGGACCTAAGTGGGTCCCAAAAATTATCAGTGAGAAGTACCATTGCTGATATTGCTCGACTCGAGTATTGTTGCATCCTTTCTGAGCAAAAACAATACGTAACTGAATTATATCTACCCAAAGGTTCACTTATAAACGTAATTTCACGTAAATGTCAATCAATACCCTGAAATTTAAGAATACTTGAAAACATAAGATATCACTTGAATATGTATGTACATATGAGAGTTCATACATTTAAAGTTATAAAATCAGTTTCAGATCCGGAAATGAATTTGGCACCAACTCGTGGCGGCAGCAATTCATGGTCAAGGAGTGTAAGGCATCAGAACTGGCATGTTGTAGGTGTTGCTATCTCAATTCAAACAGGGTTTCAGACTAAAGTTTTTAATTTTGGCCAAAAATCCCATGTTTTGGGAATGTTTTTAAAATTAAGAAGAGCAGAAGGGGCAGGCACGAAGGGATTTTTTTTGTTTATGTGTTTTTTCACCAACATTGAAGTGGCCGAGACGAAAACTAACGAAAGCCAAGAGAATGGTTAAAACTGTGCCCTAAGATGGGTATGAACAGTTGAAGATAACTTAGGTTTTAGATTTACTATGGCTTCAGCGATTTCTTCCAGCTCTATTCTAATACAAGACAAATAGTCATGGGAGTAAATCTTGATACCTGTGGACCGGACAACTTGTTGTCCGGTACAACAGCATTTGCTAAAGTAATTGGCAAAAACATTTGCAACCTCACTAGGGGAAGAAACGTAGCTGTCGTTATTTGAGTGGTCGCGTAGGCAAATCCCCTGGTTGGTATTGCGTGTGTGCTATTTTGCGAACCGCCAAAAATTGTTCGGGCACCGGTTCAAGCTGCGCTCTACGCGATCAAGGTACAAGTCTTTATCTCTAGAGTAAGACTTTTTAGTTAGAGCCCGATATATGCTAAACTGGTCGTAAAATAAATCTGATCTCATTCTTTTAAGAAGTGTATGAAAATGTTCTTTTTTACGCAGATAGGTTTCCGAATTCAAAGAAAACCAACCAGGATAAACTGAAGGCTTGGATATGCGCTGTGGCAGAAACATATCAATAGCGTCTTTAACAATATAAAAGAAAATCTGGGACGCCAACTCAGTATCAGTGATACCCTAGGCTAGAGGCTGTACTGCACTGACTAAATTTCTCATATACTGTCGGTAACAATGTCGCCATAGTCTGGCCGACTAAACTCCCTGCTGATAGAACAACTAGATACCAGTTTGTTTGTTTTTCTCCTTTCTCCTTTTTCCTCGTCTCTTAGTGCGCAATTTTTCATCGTATTCAACTTTTACCAACTCACCCAGCTTACCACCTTATTACATTTTCCTACGTGTTGAATCAACGTGTTTGCGTCATGTCAATTGCCGAGGCGAGTTTCCGCAAGGGAAATACAACCCGACATCTGTATTAACTGCCTCTGTACACGTAAGCCCTTGCAGCTGCTCCGTGAAAGCAACATTTTTTATAATTTCCGCAAAAGCAGTAGTCGCGCAGAAACCTCTCTTGGCATTTTCACTACATCGAATAGTAGATGTTAGTTTATGTTTGTTTAGTTTTCTTTTACCCACGTGTCTCAATGAGATATAAAAGACAAACAAAAATATCGCTATATACAACGTGGTGGCAAGGACTCCCAGAAACTTGTCCACGTTTCTTTCACAAAAGCAGCATGTTAAATAATCACAAACTTGCCTGCTACCTTGTCTTTAGCTGCTTAGTTACTGGAAGTATCTCAAACGATGAAATCGATAGATGTGACGGTGACGCGAACGTCGAAAAGCCACAGTACAATGCTGGAACATCCTCACTCGACTTGGGCGGTCGACTGGCACTTGTAACTGGTGCGGCTTGTGGCATCGGGCGGAGTGTTGCTATGGGACTCGCTCGAGAAAATGTCACCGTAATCGTTGCTGATATCAACACAACCGGAGGACCAGAAACCGTTAGTATGCTTCCAAGTACGTATGACGATATCAACTTTATACGCGAATTTTGAAAGTGGAACGTTTTTTTTTAGTTGTTTTTTCACGCCAAAATCAGAAGTTATCAAAAGCAGCAAATCACACTCAGCGGTTCGTTTTTTCGCACCCGCAAGCGTTTGATATATATGAACAAGCCTATTTCATCTTATTCCAGTACACAGGGTTACTTACAAATATCCGAGCAGGAGAATTGTGATATGATGACCAGCGACACATGATGAAAGTAACGAAACTAATACGAGGACAGTATTTCTTTTTTCACGTTCCGATGAAGTAGGTTAAAAAAAGGCACTAAAAGATGATTTTTTTTTTGTAATTATAATATTGATAACGCATTTTCCGGGCTATAGTACGCACTTCATGGGTGTATAAAAGTTGAAAATTTCGCCTTTGCGGATTATCTACGCGTGCGGGATATAGGAATTTTGGTTTTTGAGATGGTTCGTTATGACGAGACGTAAAGGATCTTGTGAATTAAATTAGTTAATCACGATTTATGTATTATAAAGCTTCTTTGTGAGCTTGGAAAGCCGACATTGTTCAAGGTGTGCAGTGTATGAGAAGGCCGTCGAGTCGACTAAGCATTTGGTGCGGACCATGCATGGCGTGCGGGCTGTGCACCGGGTGTGGACTAGATAAGCCAAAACTTTATTTTTAGACCTAAGTTGGCTTTTATTGACTATGCACCGGGTGCGGACTATTTCCCGGAAAATACTATACACATGTTAGCTACTTCTTCATGCAAACACCGCGCAAACTAAGACTAGGTGTGTGCGAATATACGAGATTAAAATTGGAATAAAATAGTGATTAATATAATATATTTATTCGACTTCCCAAATTTCTAATGTTTGAGTTTTCGAATGATTTGATTCGTTTAATATCAGTGCCGCTCGCGAAAACCTTTGCTTCATTCACGCTGTTCATATGGCGAAATAGTCCTGACGGACTTGTGTAGAATCATATTCAAACAGCTGCATTGAGGACAGACTAACAAGTTATTTCTGCAGATTGTAGTTCGTTTCTTGTTTCTCGAACGAAGCAGTCATGACTCCAGGCTCTTGAATGCACTCGACAGAAACCCGCAACGTACGAGCAGCACCATTTTGAATGCGTAAAATATTGCGCCACCCCCAGCCAGATCTGTGGACCGTAAACCTACTTTCGGTAGTTAGGTCCAAAATATGGCAAATCACTGTGAAAATAAAAGTAACAACAATAAGTGAACCGACCTATTCCGACAATCTGTCGTTCCCCCCGGCTTCGAGCAAGGTGTTATACCCCCCTTTCAAGTTTCGTCCGGCCACAGCGGATGTTATGAGCCATCGAAACCAATCGAAGGTCATGCTAGCTAACAGTTACCTTCGATAGAAAGCACCTTGACGCGCGGAAAGCGTAGTCACGTGCTAAGCTCACAGAACTGGATTGGCTGGGATGATTCGTATAGTATCCGCTGCGTCGGGCGCAAGGTGAAACTGAGTATGAGGCTATAGGTGGTGCAAGATATCACCCGATTCAAATGGTTAAGCCACATCCCCCCATTTAACCTGTACATTGCCTATACAAACGCGGAATGGTCTGCATATCTGTCAGCTGTGTCTTAAGTTCGTCGTGTGCATGCAGTCATTAACAATGTTTTCCTACTAGCCTCGCCCTTCGCTCTGCCTTGCAAAACAATAAACACAATATACTTTTGTTTGTATCTTTGCTGCTTCTCTCAATTTAAGCGTTAGCATTTTTTTCTTCTCGGCCCTAGATGCAAAAATCCAACCAATTACACGAAACGAAGGCGCGTGCGCGGTAGGGCAATAAGTGGATACACTGAGAAGAAAGAACACAACTCCAAAAGTCCCTCAAAAACGATTGAGTCCAGGACCCAGGATTTTGAGCACGACACTCACGCGATATGCCAACTGGGAGACTTGTAAAGCGACTGTTATTATGCTGCAATCTCCTATTCTCACCGCGCGCATGCGCGGATTTCAAAGCGAGGTGTTCACTGGATGTGCCGCAGTGTTCAGAATCCTTTGCAAGAGGAAGAAGCTCTTTCAGCAGTAAACAGCTGAGAAGTGGTGAGGTGCTTTGTCTGACCATCTTAATTACATCCAAATGTATACGGACATTTGACGCTCATTTTCACGCTACAGGGTTCATCGCAATATAATCAACGCGGAAAACCATAAATTTTTCTCTTCTCAGACCCCTAACTAAGAGAGTTATTATACCATGGCGCAGTCTTTTGGATGCCTTTCTGATTAAGTGTTGCAGCCGGGGTTCTCAGTCATTTCATTATGCATCAGCGAGACCGTCACTCGCCACAAACTTGTTCGTGTATAGAGGAAACGGCATAACGCTTCGTGAAGTAGGGAGAGAAGTCCTTCGTGAGGGACAGGAAAGAACGTCTGTGGCGACTGGCGGCTTTGATGAACTCGTGATGGGAGGACTGTGAATTCAGGTGCCAACATTTTTCGGCAAAGCATGCAAAAGCATGTGCCACGTACGTCATGATAACTCTCTTAATATGTGTGGTAAGATATAGATAGAGCATTTATAAACGTTCTGTGTATTTATGAAAAAAATATCACTCTCTTTTTGTTGCTTAGTTTTTTCTTAATCCGTTCATCGGAAGCACTCGGAAGGACTGTGAACCCTGGCTAGAACCCTGGCAGGAAAGCAGGGTTATTCAAAAGCTATGCCATGTCATAATCACTCCCTAAATTGGTGTGGTTATTGTGTAGAGGAGTAGCTGGGTTGCGTACCTACATTCTGCCTATAAAAATCATAATTGTTATGTTAAATTGGACATGAAACATTTCTTCTACTTTAAAAATAATCCTTACGCGCTCTAAATAACTTTTTTGCTAATTTTAAGAAAATGATATTTAAGTTTTACGGTACAAAGCTTGAAATATACAGGGTGTTTAATTTCTATTTACAAAATATTTATATTAAAACAATCGCATAAAGTTGCACTAATGCGATCTATCTAAATAAGCTACACGGCCAGTGGGTCATAATATTCCTCACACCAGGTCGGATAATTAGCTGAAATTTCCTAATTAACTTTTGAATTATTTAAAGAAAACTTGCGCTTTTAATTACAACTATTTTGAGCGTCACCCTAGTTCACAAATAAATAAACTTCAAAAAGATTTCGGGCACGTGGGAAGTGCACGTGTGCGCTAAAACTACCACTGATGCGACAGGCACACGGTTAGCGGTGCGAGAACCCGGATGACAAGATCGTCATCCGCGTTTTGGCACAACTAGCTTAGTGCCCGTTGCACGAGTGGTAATTATAGCTCCCCCAAGCACTTCCCAAAGGGTACAAAATGTTCTTAAATTGAATAACTTAGTTGTTTTCAATGGCGCGCAGCAAGCTTCTAATTTGAAGCTTATGTTTATTTTCACTAATTAGGAAGCTCAATAATATAATATAGTGTCACAGATGGCCGGCAGAAAAACAGGCAATAACGAAAAAAACTAGAGGTTTAATATCGCGAATTTGTGCCAGAAAAAAAAAAGGAAAAAAAAAGAGAAGATCAAGCATTGCAGGCATTTTTGTGTCACCAGTGAAGGCCAATGCTGGATACAAATTTGAAATGAGTGCTGCGTAAGCGCTCGGGTTCGAGTCCAGCTTGAGCGCAGCGTTGACGCAATCGTTTCTATCAGCACTACTGCTTTGTTATCGAGGAGGTGTTGGCTATACCAACACCTCCTATATAACAAAGCCGTACTACTGAATGAGCTGGCGCGATCAGCGAGAGGCCAACACTGAAGAGATGTAATATGGACACGACGTGATTGCGTCCATGGACGCAATCACGTCGTGTTAAGCCGAACGTGCACGTTCGGCTTAAACTAAACTCGAAGCCGTATGCGTTGACGCACTACTCGTTTCCAATCGGTGTCCAACGTCGGCCTTCTCTGATGAAGCCATCTCACTCAGCACTACAGCTTTGTTATCTAGCCGGTGTTGGCGTGTAGATGTTGCGCATAGACCGCCACGCGGACTATCTCTTGTACCCGCGTGAGTTTCTGGATAATTCGGCGTGGAACGTTCGGCGCGTAGAAGATTCGTACCTTGATCAAACAATCCCAAAAACGCTAAATAAAAAAAAAAAAATAAAAAAAGAAAAGATGAGAAGCGTCCCTTTTCGGGAACCGAACCTGGGACCTTCGCGTGAAAGCCAAGCACAGTAACCAATTCTCCACACACACGGTCGGGCGGTGACTCACGTAGCAGTGGTTTATTAGCCGACGTATTTTAATGGTTAGCCACATATATTATGTATCCCTGGTCATATAACGTACCTGCACAGGCTGCATTAATGTACTTTTAAAGGATTTAGAAAACTTTTCTAATTCATTTTAAACAGTCTGTATATTTATTTAAATTATTAATCTATTTGTTTAATTGCTGAAGAAAATTACTTTTACTTGCAGACCAACACCTTAAACACATGGCTCTCTACGTGGATGTTCGAAATTCGACTTCAGTCAAATACCTCGTGGAATGCATCGAAAGTACATACAATATGAGCATCAGTATTGTGGTCAACAGTGCTGGGATTCTGCATCATATAACTCCACTCGTAAATCTAAGTGAAGCGATATTCGACGATGTAATCAACACCAACCTAAAGGTGAATCACTGACCTTGATTCCAGTTGTCCTAATTGCCTAGTACCTTACGGGTTGAGTAGTGTTATAAAGAAATAACCTACAGAACTATTTTGCTCAATATACACACTCACGATTATGAGTGAACGTATGATACCACGTAAGTTTAATATGAAATTATTATAATACCAGCAAATTACCGTTGACGTGGGTAACTCTTAGAAGTGCATAGTCACGAATTTGGGTCGACTTCAAGAGGTCAAGTGCTTCGTCGGGATAAGGATAAATTCTTACCCTAACATTTGTTAAGGGCAGAAACACATTGGTAGTAGCATAGTGGCCGACCTTTTATTTTTTTTTGGAAACCCTGCTATTTTAGTTTTGCCTGTATCTCTTCCCGACTACCAAAACATACTGAACATCTTGTGAGTTTCCGACAGTTAAGCAACCGAATGCGTATCTTAATCAGTTAAACGCGCTCTCCCATCATGAGAATACTTCTGTTCATGACATAGATGCTCATTTCAGTAATGAAACATCCACCAAGCGAACTGTTGGGGAAAACTTCTATAAAAGGCTCGTAATTGATGAACGTGAACAAGACTGAAGGCCCAGATTGATGTTTAATGACGGCCGGCATGTTATGACAAGGTTTGCATAACTTAACCTTATTCATGTCAAGCTGCCTTAAAGTTTTATAATATTTTATTCTGCGTTTGCTTCGATCGACTCACCATGAGCTGACAGCACGAGTAATTGCAGACACGTTTCGACATTTTTTTTTAAATTATATATCCACGCTTTTCTCGACGTTTGAGTCTAAAAAGTTTATAAAATTTTCCTTTCGTATATTGCAAACTTGCATGAATCAAAGAATTATTGAATTGAGTACCACTAACCGCATCATAATAAATAGTGTGCTCTGTAAACTCTTGGAAGGAAAGTAGGTTAACCAAACGGGTGTGTGAAGTAATATGTGTGACACAGTCGTGAGACATAATCCCACCTATTCCCCGGTCATATGCAGTAATTCTTCCGACCAGATATTCTTACAAAGGTAGAAATATATACTTATTTTTCGGGAACGTCTTTTTTTCTTAAATTCAGATACAATCTTGTCAAAAAGTACAGAGTTGCAGTCTTTTGTTTTTAGGTAAATCTTATTTTGTTTGGTTAAAGGGATGAAATAAAAAGCGGGCGACGCAAATTTAAGATAAATTTCCTAATCCTTCACTCAACGCTTTTCGATGTAAAAATTATTTTCCAGGTCTGTTATATTATTTGCTAGCCTCTAAGCGGAACTATTTCGCTAAAATCTCTTTGCTTGATACTTAAATATCCATGATGTTGCGATGATACCGTCGGCAGCATGGTGAACACGACACTCGATAACAGAAGATAGAACGATTTAAGGAGACCGAGCCAGCTAATAGAGCCTACGCCGAGATGACCATGAGCGCCGTTGCCCCGTCGAGGTCTTCACCTACCTCAATAGATAGTTAAGAACGGAAAATGATAAACAAATGTAGAACTCAAAATACGTGCTTAACTGGGCGAACTTGTGCCTACAAACTTCAAAAGAAAAAGCTCCACCGCATCTTGTGCCGTCTACTGAGCTGTGGCTGCTACAAAGTAGAGCATTACCTTTGCATTGATATACGTGGTGCGTTCAAGAGCGTTCGGAAACAGAACACACAGTGGCAGCCGAGAATATGTTGTCCGAACTTTCCAGAAGATCGGGGGCAAGCGGGACAAAGTTTAATTCCGTTCTTCTCATGGCAGTATATTGCGTTTCCAACTACAGCACGCACGTGGCAACACTTCCTGCTCATACGGTCTCGCACATTTATCAGCCTAGTGTATACAGTGTTTTTTTTCTGTTCTGAGCAACCCTTTCTTGAATTTTGCTTGTTTCTAATACACCTTTTTTCCCTTGAGAACACGTATTTCTTAATGCATTCGCTCATCCATTCTTAGATGACAAATGTGGTTCTTAGTTGTTAATTACAAATCCTACAGACTGACGAATATTTTTTTAGATCATCTTTAATATCATCGCGCAGCTGTCGCAGATCCTGATTAGTTATCGACAATGAATAAATGAACTGATAAATATCAGACATGGGGTTATCGTAACGATAACTATTCTTAAAGCGCGACTCAAAGACAAGGTGAATGCACTATGTATATATATATTTCTTTTTGTTGTCGTGAGATGGTGAGCTAGCGAGGAGATAAATGCTCAAATAAAAATAATGATGGTGTTAAATTGTACTGTATCGGGATGTGTTTAGTGGTATTATTTATTTTCAATGATTCATATTCTCTAGATATACTTCAAATACACAATATTACTTGTAATATGCATGGCTTTCGAAGTAAAAATAGGTCTTATTAGACTGGTTTTATCACATGGCAACCTCAAACTTAAATGCAGCCTTTTTTGCTTGCAGGGTACATTTTTGGTGACCAAAGAAGCGGTGAAGCACATGCTATCACGGAATGTAACACGAGCAGCTATAGTGAACATTGCGAGCATACTTGGCAAGGGTGGCTTTCCAGGACTGGGCGCCTACACAGCCTCCAAGGGTGGTGTCGTTGCGTTCACCAAGTCCGTCGCCCTTGAGCTGGCGACCAAGGGAATTCGGGTCAACGTGATTCTGCCCGGCCTTACCGACACTCCCATGATTCAGAAGTACTCAAGCAGCGATATAACTACAAGGCTAGCGGCAATGATTCCCATGCAGCGTATCGCGAAGCCACTCGAAATTTCAGAAACAATTCTTTTCATGTGCAGCCCCAAAGCGTCCTACATGACCGGAGCTTCCATTGACGTTGCCGGAGGTTCCAAAACATAAGTAAATGTTTGTGACGAGTGCTTCCGATTTGAAATATAGCCTCAAATACGGAAGAATATATGGTGTTGTGACAAATTATATTAATTGATCGCTAAGGTAGCAGTCCGGAAATAAACACTATTGAGCTTCTGCAATTAGTGAATAAATTCCTACCAAAAATTTACTCTGTGCATATTATTCATATCTTGTCTTTTTTTTTAACGACAACATATTGAAAAAAGGTGTCTATATCAATTCCCTCTTTTTTATATTTCTGTGTCTCAGCGTAATTTGGAGGGGGGTAAGCGCAACAATAGATATACTAATCAACGCAACTTGGCTAATTTTCCTACATATCACTGTATTGGTACGTCAGATTGCAGTTTCAGTGCTTAAAATCGTCATAGTTTGTGACTAGATTGATCAATAAAACTAAGAAAAGAGGGAATTTGTCATCATTCATTCAACGATAATTTGTTTCGCTTTTCTAAACGCGTGATTCTAAAACTGTATCCCCCTCCCCCCCCCTCCCCCCCCCCCCCCAAAAAAAAAAAAAAAGATTAAAGCTTCGGCCGTTGTTAGACGCATAATTTTTAAGTAGAAGTTTTGAGCGCCTCGATTGCATTTTTTCGTCGCACCCCTGTAACAAATATACGACGGGAAAGTGGGACAATCCTTTGTGTCAAGTTATTAATGGAACTAGCTAATAACTCGGTAAGGATTCATCGCTACCCAAATAAGTTAAAGCGGCTCAGACTGTTTTATAAGGAATATGTTCTATGCATTAAATCACGCAATTAATTACGGCAAGTTCGGTTGGTAAATACTTCAAAGAATTAATGCGATTTGTTTCTTAGCTCGTTATTTGAGTTGGCTATTCCTTTGTATAAATAAATTCGGCACGCCGCTTAGACGAATTGTTGCTAAGTTGCAAATATAATTTTGTATTGCTGAGATGTCCCTAACCTTTTCTTATGTTAAAAGGCAGTGGTTCTCAAACGGGGGTCCGCAAACCCTTTGGGGTCCGCGAAGGAAATTTAGGGCCCCGCCCAGCCCTGCCTCATCAATCAAGCCCGGCAAGAAAAGCTGTCTTTTTTTCAGAATGAGAAGAAACGTTCAAACTTTCGGGTGAGTTTTCTCATGTGTATGTCAAAGAGAGAAGTCTGTTTCATACTAGCCCTTTGTTGTATTCATATATTAAATCATTATTTTAATTAACCTATACCCTTCCCTTCCCCTCACCGCGAACGGGGCTCTCCACCATCTTTGTCAATCCACAAGGGGTCCGGAAACATCAATGGCTAAAAACCACTGTTATAAGGGATACAGAAGATAAATATTCTTGCCGCCGACAGCACTGCTGCCATCTTTGGGTTGTTGCGCAAGCCAGAGAGTGTGCGGTGAGCAGGCGGGAGTCGTGTGAAGAGAATACCAGTTATCGTTGTGTTTATTCTTTATCAATTATTTCCTTTTCTTTTTCAGGGATGTTTTTACTATTTTCAGGCGCCTCTGTGGTATATTGCAGCACAATATTTTACCCAGACGATTTATGCAATCACTTTAAAGGCTTCACTCAGGTTCGGGGGCACGCGTTGGATGTTCGAATACTTTTTTGTCAGTTAGCACTGGAAATGCAACCTTTCAATGTGGAATGGTCAGAGAACTATATTTTTTGGTAATTCTAAAAACAATGCTTTCTGCTTATTTACCTCTTGGAGCAGTACAGATTTGTCAAATAATGGGGTTCAGGAGCAGCTAAGACACGGTGAAAGGAGCAGCAAGCCATAAAACGGAAGTTTCACTTCGATGAATTTTCTTAATTACTAAGTTAGTAAATGATATTCCGCATGTTCCGCCCACGCAACATCGACGGAAAAGAATTAAGGTTATTCCTACCCGACACAGAAAAAAAGTTTTCTTCTTTCAAAAATGATACGTTTATAATTATTAGCTTCCAAAGAATGGTTTCAGAAACATTCATTTATAAAGATGCAGGATTTATCTAACAATAAATTATTTTCGACGTGTCGGCAGCCCTCCGAGTCAGCAGGAAGCAAGTTGTTTTGCGTTTTTTATTTAGCGCTGCTTCATACTCGTTTAATATAGCCAGAACATCTCGCCCCCTATGGAAGTGCCATTTACTCTAGATTTAGCCCGTAGCAGCTTTCCAAGTTTAAACGTATATGGCCAGGAGAACCCTATGCATCCAAACAAAAAAACATCCTGAAAATTTTGTATGAGCAATCTTATTGGTTCAGTCCAAAACTGGGTTTATGATTGGTTCTGCCCGGTGACGTGGTATTGTGCCATCTTCACTAACGCCCTTTCACAGTATCTTCCACTTCAGATCATATTTCTGGTTTGCTGCTCTTCCTTAGTATGATTTGCCTCTTGGTTCTTGCCAGTTTATCTGTCAGGGAATACCTGCTACAAAAGCTAGCGTGCCTACAAACAACACAAACTGGTAGCTATTGCCAGGGGAACAAGGAAGGCTCAAAGAGGAATGTGCTAACAATGGGCACAAGGTGAATTTTGCCTTCCTCGAACTCTTTGAAAAAAAAAGAAACCTAAAGTTAAAACTTCAAATGCATTTTTCTCAGTTCACTTTTTGGTAGAAAATGTGGTGTGAGGAAATGTGTCATTGGACATTTTGAAAGTGTGAAGATTTCATTCCGTGGTGACCTTGACTGAAATTTTCTGAGGAACAAGTTAAGGGACTCATAATCGGAAAACGCTAAATTCTTCATGACAAAAACTGAATATTTTTGAAATGCAGAAATTCGTTAAAATCGCTTGCTCGTTTTCCGTGTTATTGTTTTTCTCTAAAATTGCTTTTTCCACAATTAACTTTTATTTCAACTTGCACTATAAGTATTCTACTTCACATTAAACCAAGCATTTTGTGGATTGCAATTATTTTTCTTAAATACATTTCCTAATAAAGTAACTTTCTTCTGGAGCTTGTTAAACATAGTATGCTGTAGAATTGGCCTATAAGACTGAAACTTCAGATGTCATCAATCTTAATAGGGTTCACTTCACCCTGAAAGTTTGAATCGGTTTGGGACAACATTCCTGATGTACGTGAGCAAACTTCCTATTGGCTAAATATAGCAATTTCAAGTTATTTTGAGCGTAGCTGAAATCGTCTTGCAGTGCGCAACATTTATTTCAAACGAAACAATAAAACGAAAATAGTTTTATGAATGGATAAAAGAAAATACGAATAATCCGTAGTCCCAAGCTATGCAGCATCCAACCCCTTTTTTTGTCTTAAATACTGTGACAGGTTACTGGGTTTCACGAGTTTTACGCACACAGGTGGGAGTGCTGTAATGTGCCTTACGGAGGGGGTCATTTTTGTTTTGTTTTTTAGAATGCTGTTGCAGTGTTGTCAATTGAATTGAAATGTGACCAATACTCCATGGACGTCGTTGAAATGCATTAAAATTTGAACGTTACTTCCTTGGCAGATTAAAAATAAAAATAAACGTTTAGGCCAAACAAAGCTGTGCGAAATGATATCTCACCTTAAAAATAATCTGTGCGAAAAGTTTGGAAACATATATATATATTATTTTTATATATATTTCCGCGAGCTTAAACATAGCAACGAAGCTCCACAGTTCCCTTGAAGCATGCGTCGCTTAGTATTTTCCGCAAGCAATTGTAACAGATGCCACGACTACCTTTCACCTCAGTTTGACTATGTTGCCAATCTTTGCAGTGAAGTGAGAAGTGCCACTTGTAAAAATAAACCTTTTTAGATCTCTTCTACAACAAGCAAATGTACATGTATGGGACATTCGAACGAAGTCAATTGTACAGGAGTGCAATTTCTAATTCTCCGTCCAAATGTAGGGCTAGAGGTTCGAATCATATGCCAAGGTTTCAGAGCTAACTGTTATTTTAATGAACCCTTTCAGGAGATTTTTTGAAAAAATCAATGGGAAAATGGGGCCGTTCTAAGCTACTGGAGCCATAGTGGTCGATGTATCCGAAAGTTCCGTCAAAACGGATTCTACCGCTAAAGCTGAAAACCACTAAACTTTAGAATAACGTAACAATTAGTTCCGAAACTTCGGCTTCTGATTAGGATCACTAGCGCTACATTTCAACAGAAGGTGAGTGGTCGGCGATACGTAGTTTTCTTTTTTTGTGAAAGAACTGTCAATTTTTAGGGTACACCTCGTACATACGTGCACTCGACAGAACTTCGAGGTACCCCACGGTCGCTGCTCTCACTACCGCGCTGTTTGTGCGACTACACTTCATTTCAGTCTAAGCCGCAACGCAGCTGACACTACAACCTGATGGTGCCGATAAAACAATGCCGCATTTCATCGCCGCGGTGCTCACTTGCTTTGCGTGTTGGCTATTACCGACTAAGCCATCAATCACACTGAATGCGCCGCTATCCAGCGCTTTCTAAAGCAATAGTTTTGAGGGTGACACTTTGCAGGAATGTCATTATCGGTGCTTGTAGTTGTCTTTCGTCAAAGCGAATATATAAAAAAAAAAAAAAAATTTCTTTCTCCTTATGGCACGAGGAGAGAGACGTCGTGTGTTCCCTTCTGCCACACCTCAGGAGAAGGGAATAGGGGAGAGCCCCAGCGAACCGCCAATAACGGCGCGACGACAAAGAAGCGTCAGCGGAGCGTCTTCCCGTGTCGTCTGCTGACAACTGCAAAACAACTGTTGTCGAACATTACTGGCGTTATACGAAATCACGCTGTGGGAGTTTGCAGTTGCCACCAGCGATGTTCGAGGGTTTTAGAAGCTTTCGACCGCGTTCTATTTCACTATGGCATCTCTACTTATCGATTACTACATGAAACGTAATATATGTTCTGCCAAAACTCGTCGCTTTTCACCCGCCTTCTCCGCAGAGATGTGCCTCGTGTCCCTGCATCCGTCTCCCCCCCCCCCCCCCTCTACTTATCGCAGAACCCCCGTCAACATCTCTCTCCTTTAGCAACTCAGCAACTTTGGGAAAACGTGCGCCTTTTCTTGCGCCGTCACTGCAACATAATGTTCCTAAAGGCACCACCGTAGCAATCTAGCCCTCCGTTTCTCGCGCGAGCGAGGAGGGAACGGCAGGCGTCCGCGGCTCGCGACCGGAGTCGCTTACACGCTGACCACCAACGAGAGGCCGCTCGTGTTCCTCTTACACGGCGACGTGAG